AACATAATAAATAAACTAGATGTTCAAGACTTTGTAAAAAATTGTAAAATATATATTAATAATTTTTGTGGCCATATTTGGAAATGATAATATGTTTTACATACTGGGTTAAATAAAATTAATTATATAGGCCAACCCAGATAATTTAATTTAATTTAATTTCACCTGTTTATTTTTACTTATTTAACATAGTTACTAGAAAAATTACAATTACAGGTACAGGTCACATTATATTTCTATTGGACTGTGCTGTGCTGCAATGTAGAACTTATTTGGAATACCCTGGAAACATTATAGTGTTCATATTTCTGCCCAATAGTGGGTAACCATCCTAGGGTAAACACAATTATGCACCCCAATAAAAAAAATGTCCACATCTTAATCCCAAGGAGCTATAAATGTGTAACCTTACTTGGGAACCAGGGTGGGAGGGGTGGGAGAGACTTTGTAATGTAATTAAGCTGTAGAGCTTGAGATGAGATTACCCTGGATTATCTGTGTGGGCCCAGTATAACTGAAGGGTCCTTAGAAGGAAAGAACAGGGGGAAGAGTCAGTTCCAGAGACGACAATCTGACTACAGAAGCAGAGGTTAGACAGCCGTAGGCAGGAGCCAAGGAGTGTGGCAGCCTCAGGACGCTGGAAAAGGCAATCAACTGATTATCCTGTGGAGGCTCCAGAAGGGACGCAGCTCGGCCAACACCTCGATTTTACCCCCTACAGCCCATTTTAGACTTCTGACGCCCAGAACTGTAGGATAATAAGTATATTTTGTTTTAAGCCACTAATTTGTGGTCATTTGTTATAGCAACAATAGGAAACTAATACAGATTTTGGTATCTGGAAGTGGCTCTGTGGAGTAATACGAGACTGAAACATTTCTGAAGACCACGGTAGAAAAGCCTAAGTGCCTTGACCATACTGTTAGTAGAAATCTGGGTGATGAGTGAGAACTCAGAATGAAGTACAGGGCGTGGCCTAAAAAAGAAGCCCTCTATTTTCTTAGAGAACATCTAAATCATTGTCTACAGGCTGTTAGAAATATGAGCATTAAACATAATGCTTATAAAAATAACACTGCCTGCGAGGGCTAAAAAGGAAATGAAGAACATATCACTGGAATTGGAAACTGGAAGACACAGGATCCTGGTTACATAGTGGCAAAAAACTTAGCCAAATTGTGTCCTGTTTTTATAAGGGAAGCAAAACTTATAAAAGATGAATTTGGACATTTGCCAGAGGGACTTCCAAGCAAAGTGCTGAAGGTGCCGTGTGGGTTCATCTGGCTGTTATAATGAGTTGAGACTTTTGGAGACATTAGGAGGCACCAGACATGAATTTAGGGGGACCAGAGGGCAGACTTTGTGATAAGCAAAATAATGATGCCCCAAAGACATCCACATCCTCACACTGTGTTTCCTGCCGTAGACCAATTCCAGCATGCCATAATTTCAAGAGTTTCATCAAAAGGTTGATGAAACTTGGGGACTCAACAGGGTTGAGTCACACATGTAGTCACCTGTTGGGAATGGCTAAAGGCATTTCCCCAAACCTGAATAGAAAACTGTTTGTGGCTGCCAGACAGCTAAAAGGCATCTTAATCTACATGTTATTGCCTCCTACTGGCCAAACACCTGAACAGCCGTAGGCTATTCCCCAAACTGACAATGCTTCTGTACCCTTTGAAGTGTATTATCTCCACCTTGCCTTAGGACAAATTGTGTTAATAAAAGCAAGGGTCCTAGACAAGGAGGGAGTCTTCAGTTCCTTTAGCTGAAGGTCCTCTGACCCCCAATGCCTTTCAAAATTATATCTTGTCTCCGGACTCTTTATTAGTTTCTGGATTCCTATGTCATCTACGCACAGCCCCTTTTCCAGATTGCTGAACCCTTCTTGATGCTGAGACATGAACCCCGGCAGTTTCCTTACATGGCCAAAGGGACTTTGGCCTATGTGATTAAATTACCTTGAGCTGGAGAGATTATCCTGGTTTACCGTAACCAGGTAGGCACAATGTAATCACAACGGTCCTTACGAGGACCTCAGTCAAATTCCCATAAGGAAGTTACTCTTCCCACCAAAGCAGCGGAGATCCCATCCCTGTGGCTGGAGCCTGGTAGATATGTATCCCAGAGGCAGTTTCCAAAGCGGAGAACACAGCAATTAGAGAGCAGGGTTCTAGCCCACGATGCCCACACTTGTAGGATAAATAAATGAGTGAATAGTGAGGAAAGCAAGCAAATATCCTCTTATAGAGCTCACTGGACAGAAGACATTTCTTCTTCATTTCATAGTTAACTGCATTATGATAAGAAGTTTTAATTCAACTCCAAATGTCTATGTGCCATGCTGAATACAGGCCCTGGAGATGAAGGGAGAACTGGAGAGGCGCGACCTCTGCCCTCACGAAGCTCACAGACAGGCCCGGCTCCCACAGCAACCCTGTGGACCAAGTGTCAGCAAACTGCCCTGGCGAAGAATGTCAAGGTCACGAAACAACACCTGCGCAGATCCACAGGGAAGAGGAAAGGACTCGTCTGAATTCTCTTCACCACACTCAGCGTACCTCCTTCAATTCCTCAGTAAGACTAAGTGGAAATGAATATACCTGTCATCTTCTCTTTTTTCAATTTTTTTCTTTATTAATTAAGGTATTACATATGTGTCCTTATCACCCCATTGCCGCCCCACCTCCCACTCATGCCCTCACCACACACACCACCACCCCCCTCCCCCCGTGTCTGTGTCCATTGGTTAGGCTTACATGCATGTATACAAGTCATTTGGTTGATCTCTCCCCCTTACCTCCACCCTCCCCTACCTTCCCTCTGAGGTTTGACGGTCTGACCGATGCTTCTCTGTCTCTGGATCTGTTTTTGTTCATCAGTTTATGTTGTTCATTATATTCCACAAATGAGTGAGATCATGTGATATTTATCTTTCTCTGACTGGCTTATTTCACTTAGCATAATGCTCTCCAGTTCCATCCATGCTGTTGCAAATGGTAAGAATTCCTTTTTTTTTAACCTCAGCATAGTATTCCATTGTGTAGATGTACCACAGTTTTTTATTCCATTCATCTGCTGATGGGCACTTAGACTGTTTCCAAATCTTTCTAGGAATATATCCCAAGAAACTAGAAACACCAATCAGAAAGGATATATGCACCTGTCATCTTCTTATGTGTCATCACGTAATAACTGAACGCTTAAGCTATCTGCACAGTAAATATGTAAATCTCACCCCATCATGCCGGTTCAGTCGCTCTAAAACAATCCTTTTGTTATCTTCACAAAAGGCTCAGAAAACATAAAAACACCCTGGCAGGCATTTTCACAAGGAATATCCAGGCTGCCTGACCACCACCTCTGATTGGGCCACTCCCTGCTCCAGCCTCCACAAAGCCCCGCCCCCACCACCA